CTTCGTTGCTGCACAGGTTTTTCTCTAGTTGCAGTGAGTAGGGTCTACTGTCTGGTTGCTGCGTGCGGGCTTCTCATTGTGGTGGCTTCTCTTGTGGTGGAGCAGGGGCTCCAGGCTGCTCAGGCTTCAGTGGCTGCGGTTCACAGGCTCAGTAGTTGTGGCTTAGCTGCTCCAAGGCATGTGGGATCTTCCTGGACCAAGGGTGGAACCCAAGTCTCCTGCACTGGCAGGCGGCTTCTTAAACACTGAGCAACCAGGGAACCCCTTAACCAGCTTGTTTAGTGACTTGAAGAGCTGTGGCAAGCAGTCAGGGCCAGCACTGGGAGAGGGAAAGTGCCAGGATTAGCACAAAACCATCCCCAAAACCAAGTTAATATTTTACCAAGTCTATTAAATCTGCAGATTATACCAGACGTAATTATTACTGTGCTTTAAGAAAATGAAATATTCCAATCTGTTTTAATCATGTCTGCTCCGTGCGTGCAGGGTATTAAGAGAAGCCTGCTGGAGATACACTAATGGTCCTCAGGGTATTTCTGAAGGGTTTCTGCACTGTGCGTTTATATCCTCCGGTGCTTCTTGCCTTTGCCTAAATTGTATCATGGGATTCAGAATCCAAGCTTCTTTTCTTTCTAATTCATTCTTTACCTTGGAGGCAATCTCTTTGATTCTCGCTCGGCTTTCTCGACGGACAGTTCCCATCTTCTTGGTAATGGGAAGACAGCATCTTGCCAAAACCAGAAACTTCGGCGAGCACTGCGCAACACCAACTGAAACCTCTCCAAACCCATGCCATGGGAAGACGGCTGGCTACTCTGATGCAACTCTCGAAAGATTCTTCCAGTTTTTATCAGTAAGAAAAAAACAGCCCGGACCGGTGAGAAGCAATGGGCTTGGTGCTCAGCCAAGACCATACCCTTCATCGCACAAAAGTAAATGAGAAATGAGTAAAAGAAGTGTCTGGCATATGGCAAGGGCCCTGAGATGCTAACTTGTCTGGAATTTTTTTTCCCCCTTTGGATTCCATTTCTCCCCTCTGTTGATTCCAAGGGGAGCTGCCATGTTGAGAGTGGCCTCTGGAAGGAGATGCAAAGCATGTGGGCTGTGGGGCTAAGTTGGGTCAAAAAAGAGCTGGTCTTTGAAAAGTGCATACCTGGGTGGTAGCAATGCTAATAATCACAGTATTAATTCCCATTACTTGTGATGTTGGATCAGCTATTTCACTTGGCCAGGCCTCCAACCCTCATCTGTCAAACTGGAGGATAAGGACATCCCCACCCCGCTGTGGGGTTGTTCCCTGGGATGAGACTGGACCTCTTATCCATTGTTGTTGTTGTTGTTGTTTAGTCGCTCAGTCGTGTCTGATTCTTTGTGATCCTATGGACTGTAGCCCACCAGGCTCCTCTGTCCATGGAATTTTCTAGGCAAGAATACTGGAGTGAGTTGCCATTTCCTCCTCCAGGGGATCTTCCCAACCCAGGGACTGAACCACATCTCAGCACCTCCTGCATTGGCAGGCAGATTCTTTACTGCCGAACCACAGGGGAAGCCCTCGTATACATTAGGGACTCAATATATGTCTCTTCTTTCTCCTTCTCTGCTACTGGAAAAGTCATACACACTCAGCCTTCTGACGGGGAATCCCAACAGCATTCATTCCTCTACCAAGGATCAGAGGAGGGGCTGGTTGGGGCAGGCAGAGATCCCCCACGAAGGAATAAAATGTGCTAAGAAGCTGTCGAAAGCCCCAGTTTGATCCTTCTGTTCCTGCGGAAGGTCGCTGGAAGCCTCACACCTCTACCCTCGCGAGGATCTGGCCACCCCAGCTCACAGAGCCATCTCCTCCAGGGCCAACAGTCTTTCTTCCTGGAACTACCCCACCCTTCCCCACACCCCAGCCCGCAGGCTCCATTGGGCAGACCCTGGCAGTCTACATGGCTCATGGCAGATGGTGCCATGTGGACTAATCAGGAAGTCAGACAAGAAAATACGACCCCCTCTTCCATTTGCCAGGAACTGGGATTGTTTGGATTTTAATCACAGCCACAGCTAAGAGCCAACAGGCGGCCCCTCCAGCCAAGAGATAAATTTTCCACTCTCAACATTCAATTCTTCCTCAAAAAAAAAAAAAAAAAAAGACCCCTATCAGGCGACTGCTCCCTCAGAGAGGGGTTTCTTTATTTTCCAATATAATTCTCCTTATTTAACAATATGACAGAAATAAAATACTCCGTGGACATGGTGCTTCTCCCACAGTGACTCGCCCTGGAGGGAACGTCTTCATTCCGCCATAAGTCACAGCCAGCTCACTGGTGTATTGATCCCGGGCAAAGATGAATGCAGAGTCCCATGAGCCTCTGGGAGAAATCTGACATTTTCTTTAAATATATATCCATGGAACAACTGTTTCTAAAACTCCAAGAAACAGGTCATGGGGGCAGCACACCATTGATTTAGCAGCCAATGACTTTTAGAAGGAGCACTGAACATTGTCTCAGTAATTCCAACAATGGCAGACCGAGATGCATCCTGGAGAGATGTGGTCCCTGGACTCCCATAGATGAAAGGGCTGGGTTCTTGGGAGAACTAAATGAAAGACTCACAAGAAAGAGAGCCCCCAACCAGATCCTTTAGGGCAGGGCCCCTGGTCAGTTTTAAAGCAAGGTAAGGAAAAACTGTAATCACACATTTGTTTGAAAATTATCATAGGATGGATCCATCCTTGGATTGGAAGCATTTCCCTGGTAGCTCTGATGGTTAATAATCTGCCTGCAATGGGAGAGACCTGGGTTCAATCCCTGGGTTGGGAAGATACCCTGGAGAAGGGAATGGCTATCCACTCCAGTTGCCTTGCCTGGAGAATCGCATGGACAGAGGAGTCTGGCAGGCTATAGTCCATGGGGTCACAAAGAGTCAGACATGATTAAGTGACTAACACACCTGGACTGAAAAAAGACTGAAAAAGTTGGGAGATGGTTGAGCATAATAGTCAAGATCTTGAGTTCATATGCTGCCATTCAGCTAACAGGTGACCTTAACCAAGATACTTAACCTTGCTAAGTACCCCCCAGGGTCCCCAAAGGTGAAGTGATAGTAGTCATTCTGACCTGATAGAATTGTTATAAGGATTAAATAACATACATAACTCGATAGATTGCTTGGCACAGAGCCTGCAACAAAGTAAGATCTCAGAAATCAGCATTAGTGGTGATCAAAGCAGTCATGTTCATTTACCTTTAACGTCTTGTCTACCTACAAAGATAGGAATGAACACAAGTGCATCAGGTGGACCAATCTGACGCTGAGATGTCTCTGTGACATTGTCCAGGTTCTCTGTGTTTTACAAACCATTAAGTATATATTTGGGCTTCCCAGGTGGCACTAGTGGTAAAGAACCTGCCTGGCGATGCAGGAGACGCGGGTTCAATCCCTGGATTGGGAAGATTCCCTGAAGGAGGGCATTGCCACCCACTCCATTATTCCCGCCTGGAGAATCCCATGGACAGAGGAGCCTGGTGGACTACAGTCCATAGGGTAGCAGAGTCAGACACAATTGAATCGACTTAGCATGAACACATGTGAGTGTATATTTACCTTTTTTTCAAGCTCAGAAAGAAGTTTTTATTGATGTACATGTGGATGGTAGCCATATATGACCTGATATATGGTAGCCATGTATGAATTCTGATCACTACAGCTATTATGCTTATAGCAGAGGAGAAGGCTAGTGGGAAGGGCAAAGTCCTAAGGTAGGAAAGCGGTCTTATCCTAAACCCTCCAACACTGTCAAAGAGACCCTCTCTGCCCTTCCCATCCCTGGAATGGCCTCTTTCACCATCATGTAGACACCTAGTAGAGGATGAGTAGGGTATATACTGGACTGTCAAGGCAATGTACACATTCTCCCTCCTGAACAACTGGGTCAGAAAAGGTCATGACTCATCCTTGAACTCAGGTCTTAACCAGCTGGAGGGAGAACAAGTTGAAAGGGCAACAGCACGGGCAGGGATCCAGGGTCATTCCTTGCCTCTTGGTAAAGGATAGGAAAGCAATCTGTATTCAGTGAATTTGGATTGGAGTCACCAAGTAGAAGAGGAGACACGTGAGCAGTGTCTCTGGAACCCTGAGTCCCTAATTCCATCCATGTCTCAGTTCCTTTGCAATTTATTCCTAGATTTGTCCTCTCAACATAACATGCTGTCCTTCATGCACAGAGCTGATCCTGATGACTCACACGACAACAGGAGTTACTTTTTCCAGCAGTGGCCACAAGTTTTCACTCATCCATCCAACATGTGTTTGTGAAAAATGGCTAGCTGGGGTAGCAGCACACTGATCAGTCTCGGAATGCAGCAAGGCTAGACTTAGGTCCACAGGCGGAGTGAATAAATTCATGGGCTTTGTCCCTCCAGAATGCCCATACTCAAGCCAAATAGGCTGACAGAAGATCATGAGAAGTGGAAAAGACATGCAATCTGAAATTAAAGCCTTGTGTTCAAGTCCTGGTTCTGCCAGTCCCTAGCAAGGTGATCTTAGCTATGTCTCACATGCCTTTCTGGAGCTAAAAAACCCTCACCTTAAAGGGTGGAGATACCATTTTTATGGGAAGCATAATAATACCTACCTTGATTGGCACTAGTGATGATAAATCAGAGGTCATGTAAACGAAAGCACACCTAATAATCTATTTATATATTACAAATGTTGTTTATTATAAACTAACTCTATTATTACAAATTCAATACTGTTATTAACTAATTACTAACAGGTCACAAAACTACATCCTGATAGATGAGACTGCTATCTTCTGAAATGTACTATGCCCAGAAAGAGCATCAGAAATCAAGGAATGGGGTGACTCCCTCTCACTGAACATGGTACACCCATGTCATCCACCCCAAAAACCTCTGCAGGTGTATATATGCCCCAGCTTCCAGTGGCTTCACCCGATCTCTGACCACCACTCCACCAATTTGGACAGTTTTCGAAACTGAACTTACAATTCCCGAAGACTCAGAGTCTGGAAGAGCTGCCACGAGAGCGTGGTGAGCCGGTTACTTGACAGGTTTCTACAAGATGGACAAATAAAGAAAATTAGAGGACGATCTAGAATAAGTCTTGCACTGTGTAGTAAGCATGGTCATCTCATGGGAGCCTGGCTTAGTTGTTCTTATCCTTTGTTCCATTCGGCTAACAGCACATCTGCTAGTAGTCAAGGCTACAGATCATGTCTGGAGAGGATGCTGAGACCTTTTAAAGAAAAGACTTTACAAATCAAATGAAATAAATTAATTAATAAAATTTTCTTGATCATTCTCTGCTATCCCCTCACCACAATAAAATTTCACCTTTTTAACCCCACCCTCTTTCAGGAGGACAGAGAATCCTCAGGGTAGAGCGTATACAAACCAGCAAGTATTTTTTTAATGAAGTACAGTTGATTTACAATGTTGAATTAATTTCTGCTGTACAGTGAAGTGACTGTTACAGAAAAATACACTCTTTTTCATATTATTTTCCATTGTGGTTTATATAGGTAACTAAATATAATTCCCTGTGCTACACAGTAGGACCTATTGCTTATCCATTTTACATATAGTAGTTTATATCTGCTAATCCCAAACTCTTAATTTATCCCTCCTCCCTTTTTTTAACACTGAGGCATAGTTGACTTACCAAAAGAGCTGTACATATTTATATGTCTTGATGAGTTTAAGATAATATATATACACATATGAAATGATCGCCATAAACAGTGCCATAAACTTAATTGGCACCTCTAAAAGTTTCTCCCCTCCCTTTTCTTTGAAAATAATATTTAATAGAACATGTGCCCTTTCCCAAAGTTGTAAGTGTACAATATTGTATTGTTAACTATGCCCTGCTGCTGCTGCTGCTAAGTCGCTTCAGTCGTGTCTGACTCTGTGATCCCATAGATGGCAGCCCATCAGGCTCCCCCGTCCCTGGGATTCTCCAGACAAAAACACTGGAGTGGGTAACTATGCCCTACCCTGTACTGTAGATACCTGGGACTTCTTCACCCTGCATTAAGTGAGGCTATTGTTACCAACAAACATTCTTAACATTCACACAAGTCAAAAAAACTCCACACCTATAATTCCTTCAAGCCAGTCCCTCCCCCAGCAACCCTGCCCATCGATGATCAAGACACCAGCCTTTTGGTTCACACTTCTGTTCTCCTCCTAATGGCTATTTAATTGTTCTCATTAGGATGTACAGGGGAAAGGAGCAGTCATTAGTCTTCTGAATAAAAGAAGAAACACACCCACGGTTATTACTTTGCCAGGCTCAACAAACAACTTTTGATGTGATCACAGTCCTTCAAGGCAGCAGCTGGAGACAGTTAGAGTCAAAGTGGTACCCCAGGAACTGTGGACTCATCTAGTGATGAGAAAGGAGAGCAGTCAAGACTGCACTTAGGTAAATACCTCTCCACACGCACAAGCACGTGCATATCTATGTCTATCAAACATGTTGGTAACAAACGCAAACACAGACTCCTGTTTATACACATATGCATAGACTTACAAGTGCACCTATATTTAAAGGACTTCTATAACAAATATTTGTTCACAGCCAAATATAGGCTCCAGTAAGGAACAAGGGGGTGGACAACAGATAAGGTCTCTTGGGAACGTATGTTCAAGTTACAAATGAATAAGCAAGAGAATTGCAGTTTGTGATGAATAGAATAAAGGGTCTAAGCAAAGTGGGGCAAGAAACTGAAGGGGAAGAGAGACGGGGCTATCTTAGAAGTGTGTAAGACCTTACTGCTCATCCATTTTAGATAGAGCAGCTTGTATCTGCTAGTCCAAAACTTCTAATTTATCCCTCCCTTTTTTTTTAACTATTAAGGTATAGTTGACTTACCAAAAAATTTTGTCCATGTTTAATATATATATATGTCTTGATGAGTTTAAGATAATATATATATATATATATCTATGAAATAATCACCATAAACAAGCATTCTGAACATTCCACAAGTCAAAGGCTTCCATAAAGACCCTCTGAGAGGGGACATTGGAGCTGAGACAAGAGGAGTGAGATTGAGCCAAGTGCCAGGGAAGGTGTGTTCCCGGCAGTGGGAACATCAGGTGTGAGGCCCTGAGAGGGATAAGGGGGCCAGAAAGGAGGCCATGAGAAAGGAAGTAGGAGAAGTGTGGTCTAGGATAAATAGGAGGGAGACTTCCCCAGCAGTCCAGTGGTTAAAACGCAGCACTTCCAAGGCACGGGTTGCTGGTTTGATCCCTGGTCAGTCAGGCAACTAAGATCCCCATGCCATCTGGTCAAAAACTTTTAAAAATAGAAATAGAATAAGCATCCAGAAGGGGCCATGCCACACCCACCTTTTGGGCCAAAGTAAGGCATCTGGATTTTACTGTAAAGAACAATGGGAGAGCACCAAACGGTGTTAAGTAGGGACATGGCATAATCTAACTAGCATCTTTAAAAACAGGAACCCAAGACTGGAAGCCATCAAAGCAGTTAGGAGATGCTGCCATATTCCAGGCAAGAAGAGAGCACAGAGATGATTAAGCTGATGAATTCAAGCTAGGTGGTGAGGGGGAGCTGCCAGAATCCCTGTGGGGTTGGATCAGGCACGGAGGGAGACTTGAATGCCCGGGAGAGTGGTGCTGTCATTTAACGAGCCCAAGGCTGCAGAAGGGTCCCAGCTGGAGAGTGGCGTGGAGATCAAGACCTTCCCCCTGCAGACACTAAGTCTGAGATGCCTGTTTGATGTCCACAGAGAGGCATGAGACAGCCTGTTGGATGTGTGGGTCTGGAGCCCATAGGAGAAGCTCATCCTGGGTGAGGTCACAGAGGGTAATCATGGCTTATCAGAGGAGCAGGTATTCAAAGCCAAGGACAAGCTACAGAACAGGGCTTCCCCCTCGCATTTGAGGCAGCTCTATCTTGGTGACTTGGGCTTCCCTGGGGGCTCAGACGGTAAAGAATCTGCCTGCAATGCAGGAGGCCTGGGTTGGATCCTTGGCTCAGGAATACACCCTGGAGAAGGAAATGGCAACCCACTCCAGTATTCTTCCCTGGAGAAGACAGAGGAGACTGGTGTGCTACAATCCATAGGGTGACAAAGAGGCAGACATGTCTGAGCAACTAACACTGTCTTGGTGACAGCCCATGACTGTGTGGGGGAGGAAGACCCCATTCTTGGGGTGCAAGGGACTGGGGACAAAGGGAAGGTCTCCAGGGAGGTATACCCCAAACTTACTGTCACACTCTCTCCCCCACCCCCAGCACTCTCTCCTTGGCCCTCTTTAGGAGGGCCCCTTATATCCCCACACTGTCACTAACTTCCTCTCTGCAGGGCTGTGGAATGCTGGCGTGAATAACAACACAGCCTCTCACCAAAAGCCTATAAACCTCCTTTTAATGACTGAGTAATATTCCATCATGTATATGTAGCACATCTTTATCCATTCATCTGCCACTGAATACTTAGGCTGCTTCCATGCCTTAGCTGTTGTAATAGTGCCCCAATACAGTACTCCAATAAAAAAAAAGCCTGTAAACCTTAACGTGTCCGCATGCTCAGCTTCACAAAACCCTAACTATGGCAAATCTTTTTCCCACAATCTGCCTCATTCCCCCACTGAATTGGAAGGAAAGGGGGACAGAAGGACTGCATGACAACCGTGTGAGGACACTCAGGCGCCCAGCTCCCAGCAGAGCATCTCCTGCTCGGAAGGGAGGAGTAGGCGATCCGACATTTATGCCCATCCGAGTCATGGCTTTACACAAGGGAGTGGACCTGAAGCTGAAGCTCGGGGTCAAGAATAACAGGATTGGGTACCACCCTACATATCTCCATTACCATCAGCTGCTCTGATGTTTCCATGAAGGTGAGTTTATGCACCAGCATCTTGTTGCTGGTTTATGAACAACAGCACCAGTGGCAGCAGAAGTCAGACAAGGCCCAGGAGCCTTGAGCTCTCTGCCCGACTCCAGCGCAGCCTGGAACAGTCCCTGGTTCTAAAGCTGAGCAGGGGCTGCTGTGAGAGGCAGCAGCCGGGAACCCCAGGTTCACCGCACCCTGGGAAACACGCCCCGCCCCCGCCCCCACAGGAAGGAGGAGGCAGGGACCCAGCAGCGGTCCAGGTAAAGTGGGACCCTCGCCCGTCTCTGAGGGAGGAACAGCCAGGAGTTCTTGGGGGGCCCGAGGCAGGGAGCAGGCTGCCAGCAATGTCCTTTCACAAAGGTCAAGTTTTGCTACATTAGGCAGAAATGTCAAGAGAAAATTGGATTCTGAAAGAAAGAAAATAACAGGCATTCTGGGCAAATAAAGAATAAGAAATGGCATTATCTCCTTATTACAAGTTAGAGGGGGGAGGGGGTGGGGGAGACCGGGTACAGGGGAGGTGGGCTCCCGCTCTCCCAGGGGTGTCCCCTCTGTAGCTCCTCTCCCAGGCCTCCCCCACCCACCAAGTCCCACCTGGAGGAGAAAGAGCCCCTTGCATTCCTTAAGTTCTTGGGCCAGATGGAGCAGCCTTGGCAGGACTCAAGGGCTCTGTCCGTGACTGCCCTCTCCCCTTCCCCCTCCTCGATGGTCCACAAGCCACCTTCACCTTCTGGGGTCCAGATCCTCTTCTTCTCTCCCCTCCTCCTGCCTCCTCACATCATCGCCATGACCAAAATCTGCATTCACCAAGGGTTTCCTCAGTACCAGCTACTCTGCTACTCAGGGCTTCCGCACTGGCTCAGTGGTAAAGAACCCACCTGCCAATGAAGGAGACTGGGTTTTATCCAGGTTTAAAATCCCAGAGAAGGAAATGCCAACCCACTCCAGTATTTTGCCTGGAAAATTCCACGGACAGAGGAGCCTGGCGGGCTATAGTCCATGGGGTCGCAGAAGAATTAGACACAGCTTAGCAACAAAATAACAATGACAACAACTTGGTTACCCACTTTTGCTTTCACGATTTCATTTAATATTTACAGCAACTGTACCAGGCAGGTATTGCTATGATCTGTATGCAATAGATGAGGAAACTGAGGTTCAGAAGCTGCCAATCAAAGTTGAACAGCT